GCATACCTGAAGATTAAACTGGAACCCTGATTTGCATCATGGAACATCAAAATTCTGTGCTGATAACTTGTGTTTTATAACCCTGATTTCCCACGGTCCTGAACTGTAGAGGAAGCCTCCATGAAAACAGCAGACCTTCTGGTTCATACAGTTGCCTTCCAGAAATAGAAGAAGAAGAAAGTTTGGATTTGATATCCCGCTTTATCACTACCCAAAGGAGTCTCAAAGCGGCAAACGTTCTCCTTTCCCTTCTTCCCCCACAGTGAGTGGGGCTGAGATACAGTGGTGCCTCGCAAGACGAAAATAATCCGTTCCGCGAGTCTCTTTGTCTAGCAGTTTTTTCGTCTTGCGAAGCAACCCTATTAGCGGATTAGCGCTATTAGCGGTTTAGCGGCTTAGCGGCTATTAAAGGCTTAGCGGCTTAGCGGCTAAAAGGCTATTAGCGGCTTAGCGGCTTAGAAAAAAGGGGGGGAGCGAAAAAAAATCGCAAGACTCGCAAGACGTTTTCATCTTGCGAAGCAAGCCCATAGGGAAAATCGTCTTGCGAAGCAACTCAAAAACGGAAAACCCTTTCGTCTAGCGGGTTTTTCGTCTTGCGAGGCATTCGTCTTGCGGGGCACCACTGTACTTCAAAGAAGTGTGACTAGACCAAGGTCACCCAGCAGCTGCATGTGGAGGAGCGGAGATGCGAACCTGGTTCCCCAGATTACGAGACTACCGCTCTTAACCACTACACCACACTAGCTCTCACCACACTAGGGGACTATGGGACAATTATGATGCAGTGAACCTAGCGTGCTCACTTCAACTGCTCACCCGCTTCGTATGTTGTCATAACACATAATCATAATGCTTGAAGAGGAGTATATACTTTATTTTTGAGCTTGAGATAGTTAGCAGTCAATTTATGTCCACAGATAAACAAGTGAATTATGTGCTACAAATATCTTCCATGGAAAAAAATGGGTAATCATTTTGCTACTGCAGTTTCAAAAAGTCTATTATAATTTTAAGGGCATGATGAAGGACACCTCTCAACTGCTTCTCCATACAAGAGCCACCAGCAGTAATGTTCAAAACAGGGTATAGTTACACAGTTTGCCACATATTTCTGCTTGGCCTTTCCAGAAATGTGCAAGCAAAAGTTGTACAAGTAAGTTGTGCAGTGGTGTGTGGGTGGGCGTTCCATGAATTTCATTGTCGGGAAGATGAGGACTCCTGTTTTGCCCATTACATGTGATTTGTGACCAGAATATAATGCATTATCCATTAGCATTATTCCAGGCCACAGTTAGATTTCAGCTGGACGTGAAGGTTTTTAACTCACTCAAGGATAGAGGGTTAAGCATTTCAGTACTTCAAGAGGCAACAAACTGCAAAAGAGATTTTGCAAGTAGGTTTTCGTTTATAGTATAGGGAAGTGCTGATTTGAGTAGGTCCACTGTTCAAAACTCCCATTGTTCCAGGCGCATTTTGCAACAGGTAATTTCATTAGCGCGAGCAGTTTCTGAGCTCTGGGCGCAGCACTGCGCCTAAGATTTCAAATTAAAACTGCAGATTGGAAGGAAAGGAGGACCCTTTTCTGCCTCCCCACTTCCAGCTACTTTCTGAAGAATGGAGAAGAGACCCTCTTAAGAATATTAGGGGGGTGGGCAGGGGAAGGATAATATTTTAGCTGTGGTTCATTCATTTTCAGCTTTGTATTCTTGTTATAAAAAAGCACACTTAGATATTCCGTTGTTGCGCCCATAACCTAGGTTTAAGGTGCCATTTAGCTCCTACCTTCATAACTCAGTTTCTAACACTGATTAGATCATCCGGGTATTTCATATATTATCTGCTCTGCTCACACTATTGAGATTTTCCCTTACTAGTGGGCTTATGAAGATTATGAGGTCTATATGGGAAAAGTAATGTTGGGGAGGTTATCCAGCACTGGCATAAAAAGGATACCTACTGGTCTTCCACTGGTACTGAAATTTTTCACTTCTGCTGAAGAGAAGACCTTACATGGCATAGCTATGCCATGCAGCTAACATTTGGTGCCAGGATGAGAATGGTGTGAGCAAAAAGCCCAATGAACAGCCTCTTGTGTTTCATTCTGATGTTCCACTGCAGTCAAGACAAGTTTACACCTGCAAAATAAAACTGCAAGCGGTATTTTAGGGACGGACCAGGTAAAGCCATGAGGTTTGATGGTATTTTGCAGCACTGGTGTCTAGCTTAATTGGTTTCTTTTATATCTTAATCCACAGCAATTTGCATTTTTAAAAATAGTAGCGAAATACCTAGCCAAGTTAACTACATTTTAGTTCAACGAAGGGAGTGTTAAGTATCTACTTAAATCTCTTCCTTTGAAATGAATGAGTTTTTAAAGTGCTGTTTTTGTTGGATCATGTCTGTACAGATTCATGTGGCGTTTCAATATCTTGCTAACTACTGTTTCAATTATCATCTGAGGTCCTGCTTTGAGACTTTTACCATTATGGATTTTCATGGGAAGCCAAGAATGTGGTCTGGGTAGGAAAAGCAATCATAATATTTGTTGTTTTAGAATTATTCTGTTTTTGAAAACTGCATTCTGTTTATTATTTTAAAGTGGTGAACTGTGAAACCCTGTTTAAAATTAATTTTAAGAGAAATGGGTGAAGGAACACAATTGTCCGGATGTTATTGTCAAACCCATTCATCTATTAAATTGAATACAGTCATTGAAGGATTCCTTTACATAATCTTGAATTAAACTTCTTTTCGTACTGTCTTTCCCTCGTGGTCATGAATTTCCCAGCAGTGTTTTCCTGTTGCTTTGAAAATGCATTAACTCTCATAAGCTATGTCTACAGATAACCTTTCCATTTCTTAGTTATTGTGGGTTCTCCTATGCATGGCTGCTGTATATATTAAAGGGGATAGCCCTTTTCTTCCACTGTTACAAAAATCCAAATAAAAGACCAGATCATAGATTTATTTAGAAACATTTATAAATTGCCTTATGTTTTTTTACATAAAAAAACCATTGCAATTAACAAACAATGCAATTAATACAAAAAAGTAGTGTAAATGCATATAAAAACAAGAATTTAGGGAATGCAAACAAATATAAACAAAGTCCTCTCAAAGAAATCCTGGCAAAAAGGTATGTCTTTACAAGGCAACTGAAGCAACTGGTGGTCGCTGCTTCACATACGGCAAAGAGAAACGGAGTCCTGTAGCACAGGAGCAATAGTGGGAAAATTCCTAATTTTTCAGTCACTTTCCTATGGCATTCTACAGAATGCAGTACCACAAGTAGAATTCCCTCAAATGATCTAAGTGATCTTACAAGTCTTTACAGCAGCAGGTGGTCTTTCAAGTAAATATTCACAACTATTTAATATAAACTCTTTCATTTGATTTCCCCTGCTGTCTAGAGGTTCTCCCCTCCCCCTTCATTTTAAGTGCTCTATTAAAGAACTTATTTTTAAAGAATTGCAGTGGGGATAGAATGAGAATGTATTTCATAAAGTAATTAACTCCTGCTGTTGAAGTATAATAAGCTGTCCAGGAACAAAATAGTGCAGATTTCTCGAGTGAACATAATATTACAATAGTCTCTGTCAACCTGTTAATATTCCATAATGTATTATGAAACATTTTTTTTTTTATTTTAGGTGACTCTGGTTTTTATTAATTTAAAAGAAGAAGAAATAGAGTACGTTACCCAAACCTGCAAAACAATAAATAAAACAAACCTGAGTACATTCAAATACATTCGGAAAAAACAGATTTCAACAGTTCTTTGAAACTTCTCCCCAGCGTGTTGCCAGTAACTGAGTACATAACCTTTTAAATTGCACAATACTTCAGATTATGGGATATGCATTGTGGAGTTTGACGTGAAAAGACATCCTGTTAAGAAAGAAGCAGCTGCATTATTGAATAGACAAAGATTTTGCACGAAGTAAAATTACCTGGCCAAGTATGAAATTTTCTCGGCTTTCATTATCCATCATAGATGTTTGACTGATGTGTGATGTGGCACTTGGTACAATAGCTCCCCTCCCTGCTTCACAGAAAACCAGTAGGGGGTGGAGAGATAAGTGATGAAGCAGAAATGGATCCCCCCCCCATAATAGCAGCCCGCTAACAGGGACAAAAGGGAGCAGATAGAACAGGCTGTCAGGAGCTCGGCCTACACTCGAGTAGGACCCTGGAAGAGACACATGCACGACTGGCATGTTCTCTCCCTCCTGGTCTTTCGTTCGGGAGCTTCAAAGGCTTTCTTCAGCCCGAACATCACAGCGACTGATGCCAACCGACATCGGGATCCGCAGAGTTTGCGCATCATCGTGTGACTGCAAAATGGGAATATTAATGTCCTGCGTTACAGGGTTGTTGGAAGGCAGCAAGTTACCAACATTTTGGGGCCTTTGTGGGCACCATTCACAAAGTGGTTCGTGTGGGGTGTGGCATAACACAAAATGGTCACTACATCTGTTGTTGTTGTTGTTACTGTTGTTACTGTCTGTCCTTAACCAGCAGGCCCATGACATGTTACGACAATTCAAAACACATTAAAATATATTTAAAAATAGTTTAAACAAACAGGTGCAGGGATAGGGTAGGGCCTGAAAACACCTCTGAGGTGTCAAAGGTCAGAGTAAACGCATTAGTAGGAACTGATCAGGAAAGCAATCATTCCTTCAAGTACTGTAGTTTTGTTTTGTTTTGTTTTAAAAAAGGAATACATCCTGAGACTTTTTGCAGATGCCATAGGGAGGTACTGGTGGGTATGTTTTTTGACCACTTAAAAAGCCCTGCGTCAATACATGGCTACACCAGTTCCTTCGCGAGCTCTCCATTCTGACATCCTTTGTGCCAACGCAAGCAGTTCTTAACTGATTGCTACACACACATGGTAATGCTATTGTGATAATGTTTTTGCTGTTAGGGATTAGAGCATAAGCAAGAAATGGAAAAAATAAGGCTAAATTATGTTGTTTTTTCCTTTCCTTTTACAGACAAAACGTGGATGCATACTCCCGAGGCTTTATCGAAGCACTATATTCCCTACAATGTAAAGGTGAGGGGTCTGCTTACTTAACTTTGTTTCTGCCTATGTGACAGCTGGCAATTGCCTAAATTCTGAAGATGCTTTCCATTTGTCTTCATTAAAAATGCCACCTGCTTTATAAGGTTGAAAGTGAGTAAGAATTTAGACTGCGACGGAATGCAAAGCTTGGCAAATTACGCCAGGTGCCGTTGTTCATTTTTCAAGCAGTGTCTGAGGCCTGAAGCCTGAGGCATACCATGCCAGTGGAAATGAGGGAAACCTCTTAGCTAGGTCAGGTTGTTGGTGGGGTGGCACAGAAGCCTTGATTGTGCATAAAGCAATCTCCAAATTCAGCCAAATTCTGAATTAGACCAGGAGAATTCACCACCGTTAACCTCAGCAGCTAGAAATTGAATTTTAAAATATGCATGCACACATATAAATTATAAAGCGGCTAAAGGTTTTGGTTTTGGTTTGGTTCTGCCCTAGGTGTTGGTTTCGACCTTAATACAATTGCACTCTCATGAAGGCAAGGAATGGAGTAGCTTAACTGTACAATATCCCTTGTTGCCAGTAAGGAAGTGTTAGTTGCTTATGAGCTAGATAATGAAAGAAGTTGTGCAGAACTTCCAAAATAGTGGCCATCTCGTTAGTTGAGTGTTGGTTATGGCTTAATTTTCCGGATAAATCATTTAACCAAGCAGTTTCCAGCTACACTCAAAGCAGATGTTGCTGAATTATCCTGGAGAGGATATCACAGTAAACAAAATATGTGGAAGCCAGAGAATTGCCACCGAGGTTGGCAGTAGCGCAACTTTACAGAAAGATCAAAAGGAAAAAGCATGTTGACTGCAGTCTCTAGTGTGCAGTTACTATGGCTGCCCTTGTTGATTTTAGTAGGGATCAAATGCATGTAAATCTGGGGCTGATTTGCAACTAATGCTTATACGATTTACCAGCAGATTTGGAACTGCCAAGTATTTGTCCAATATAGTGTGCTGATCCTTTTTTGTTTGTGCTGTCAGTTCGTAGATAATTAGTTGCAGGCGAAAAATAAAATAAAAATGGCACTCAAAATTTAGAATGGACTTTAGCAATGTAGTTGTAGCTCCTCTGGTGTAGATACTGGACTGTGAAGAAGTGGAGATGGGGCTTAAGAACAGCATTAATAGGCAGTAGGCGTTTGTTGCGGAATTACCAAAATATATTGTTAGAAAGCTTAAGCAGGTGCCTCACGAGATGTATCTGTTGTGGGGCAGCATCATTTCAGATACCATCACCATCATTTTTTACATTTATATACTGCACTTCATCCAAGGATCACAGGGTGGTTAACTGTATTAAAACACACAGAACATGGAGGGTTGTAAACTTAACATGCTCCCTACAAGTTCATAACTAATTTGTCTAGGTGAGACCTTTCCCTAAATTGCTAGTTTCATATAAAGGTAAAGGGACCCTGACCATTAGGTCCAGTCGTGACTGACTCTGGGGTTGCGGCGCTCATCTCGCTTTATTGGCCAAGGGAGCCGGCGTACAGCTTCCGGGTCGTGGCCAGCATGACTAAGCTGCTTCTGGCGAACCAGAGCAGTACACGGAAACACCGTTTACCTTCCCGCCAGAGCGGTACCTATTTATCTACTTGTACTTTGACATGCTTTCAAACTGCTAGGTTGGCAGGAGCAGGGACCGAGCAATGGGAGCTCACCCCGTTGCGGGGATTCAAACCGCTGATCTTCTGATCGGCAAGTCCTAGGCTCTGTGGTTTAACCCACAGCACCACCCACATCCCCAGTTTCATATATGTAAGGAGTATTTCACGTGGAAGAGTATCCGAAAGAATTTCCTCAGCTGTTCCTCAAAACAGCACAGCCTCACGATGGCTACATACATCGCGTGGTGCTTCTGGCCTGTTTGAGCTACTGGCCTGTGGTTTGTAAAGTAGCGTCTTTGCTGATGGAAATTCAAAATCCTTTTTCTCAAGTCATTTCCACGAGCCAAAGGGATGTGGTAAACCTCGTGATTAGGTTCTTCCACAGCCTCTGTTATACTAAGTGGCCCCAGGTGGCTGCTTTGAAGAATGTGGATGATGCGCTCTTGTAGAAAGTTTTGAAACCTTACCTCTGTGCTCATTCCCAAACATTACATACACACACTGCTCCCAAGGCTGCTATTAGATCTACTGGAGGAAAAAGACATGTGCAGATGCTAAGTTCAATGGCCTCTTCTAGAGAGCTCCACTTAACTGATCTTCAGGCCAGCCACTGGGAGCTGATAATTAGTTTTTTGTTTTTTTAAAAACGTTTTGTAATAGCAGATCTATGTCATGTCTAGTTGGGTCTATAGTTGTGGGGTATATGAATCAGTTCTGGAACAAATATATGTTTTAAGAACTGCAGGGGGAATGATGTGAGGCATGAATAGCTCAGAAGCAGCTGGTCGGCTGGCTTTTTTATGTAAAGAGAGTAAAAGTAAGACATTGTTCCTTCAATCATCATTTCCAAATGCTGTGACGTTCATCACTAAAATCAGTGTTCTATTGAAAACCCTTAACAATCAACGATTGGTTTTAAAATGTTACTCAACTTACAGTAAAGTTCTCTAGAAGTGCTACATGTTCTCATTTACAAGAAATGCATAAATTGACGATAAATAAATGTTTACTTGCATTTGTCATTGGTAAGAACTGTATATACAAGGCAGGACAGCAGGTCTAGAATTCCTAACAGGCTTTTTCACATTTATGCATTAGTTCAAATAGTAAGCAAGCTCTGCCTGGCGTTCTGAAACTATTGTTATGGGTTGTGAAATAAGAGCATTTGCAGTACTTCAGTTAAGGGAAGATACTGAACAAAAAAAATCTTTTGATTTGTGAGTCAGTGTTGAGTTTGGAATTGAATTAGTAGATATAAGTTTATGATGTTTTACACCACAGCGCTGTTGAGATGAGCCATACATAAAAACCATTATTTTACTCTAAGGAATCTTTCTAAGACTGCACTCTACTTATCAGATTTCTTCTTCTTAAAAAAACACAAATGCACACAGATACTGGTAGCTTATAAAACTCACCGCTCCCCAAACCCCCCAGAGGGGGTTATTCTCTGCTGCAGCCACAATAAGGTAGCTAAGGGGCAGGTATTCACTTGCTGTAAATTGGCAGAGATCACTTAAGATAAAGTTTGCTATGCTGTGTTTCATGGACAGTGAATTGCAGTGCGGAGAAATAGGTCTTACTGCAGTATATTGGTTCCAACTATGGGGCACAATCCAGCCCATTAAGTGCTGTTGGGCTTCTGCTTAACACTCCCATTGAAATCAGCAATGTGTCTGCGATTCTTTTACTTTGCTAAGGCTGCTTTATAAACAGTATTTCATCAGCCTTTCTCATAGCACACTTGTCTTGTAAGTACATTGTACAAAACACTATGCGTAAACAAAGTTGTAAATTAGGAATATGATGAAATAACATTCCAATGCAATAAAAATCATATGCAAAAGTTCCTGAGCCTGGAAGTCAGGCAGGGCTCCCAGGCACCTTGCTCCTTTTCTCATCGTAGTACAGTAGTTTGCAAGTTTGGGGAACTGCGGACTTGATCTCTGCTGCATTGCAGCTCTAGCACTGCTGATGGTCAGAGGATGGCACTGTCCTGCAGTTTCCAGCCCAGCCCAACAGGAATGAAGAGACACAAATTATCCTATTATTATTATTATTATTATTATTATTATTATTATTATTTATACCCCGCCCATCTGGCTGGGTTTCCCCAGCCACTCTGGGCGGCTCCCAACAGAATATTAAAAACATGATAAAACATCAAGCATTAAAACTTCCCTAAACAGGGCTGCCCTCTGATGTCTTCTAAAAGTCAGATAGGAAAGCTTTTAATGTTTAATAGACTATTGTATTTTAATATTCTGTTGGAAGCCTCCCAGAGTGGCTGGGGAAACCCAGCCAGATGGGCGGGGTATAAATAAATTATTATTATTATTATTATTATTATTATTATTATTATTATTATTATTATTATTTTCCTTGACATCTGATGGGAGGGCGTTCCACAGGACGGGCGCCACTACCGAGAAGGCCCTCTGCCTGGTTCCCTGTAACCTCACTTCTCGCAGCGAGGGAACTGCCAGAAGGCCCTCGGAGCTGGATCTTAGGGTTCGCGCTGAATGATGGGGGTGGAGACTTCAGGTATACTGGACCGAGGCCGTTGAGGGCTTTAAAGGCCAGCACTTTGAATTGTGCTTGGAAACGTACTGGCAGCCAATGTAGGCCTTTCAGGACTGGTGTTATGTGATCTTGGTGGCCACTCCCAGTCACCAGTCTAGTTGCCACATTCTGGATTAGTTGTAGTTTCTGGGTCACTTTCAAAGGTAGCCCCACGTAGAGCGCATTGCAGTAGTCCAAGCAGGAGATATCTAGAGCATGCACCACTCTGGCAAGACAGTCTGCGAGCAGGTAGGCTCTCAGCCTGCGTACCAGTTGGAGCTAGTAGACAACTGCCCTGGACACAGATTTGACCTGCGCCTCCATGGACAGCTGTGGACAGACACCTCCCTGGTCAAATGTGGACCTATGGTAATCTTGCCCTCCTGCAGGGGTAGTGGACCCATTAAGGTGATCTACTCCCAGGGACTTATGGAATATGATGAATTTCTGGATGCTCAGTGTGGTTCCAGGTGACAGGGCTAGGTATTCTGTCGAGGTCAGGATAACATTGAGATGAAGTGGGCCATCAGTGGAGAACCACCCCTTTACAAGGGAACTTTGGTCATTGAAACAGGTTGCATCTTGGCCAGAGCATTGGTCTTGGAAACCTGATCACAAGGATGACTGAACCCAAGTAAGACAAAGGCCCCAATCCATGTACAGTGAACTGGGCACACCTGGTTGGCAGCCCTCTCTCCAGTAATTACTCTTGACTGTAACTTGTTTTCATGAATTTTAATACCATATTTTAAATTGCCATTGTAACCCACCCTGGGATCTGAAGATGAAGGCGGGTAAGAAATCTAATAAATAA